ATGCCACCCTTCTAGATATTCCAGCTTTCCTGCAAGAAGTCCTGGCTGGCTTGTAACTCTATATTACCAAAAAGAAAATCGAACAATAGTAAACATCAAGATCGACATTAAAAAATGGTTCATTAAAACTGTGGAGTTAGGGGTGAGGGTGGGGGAGGGAGAGAAGTGTGTCAAATGTTTAAGGTCAATGTGAGATGAGAAAAAAGTTTTTTAAGATTTATTTATTTATTTATTTGAGAGAGAGAGAGTGTGCATGCACGAGCAGGTGTGGGGGCAGAGAGAGAAAGAGAGAGAGAGAGGGAAAGAAGCTGACTCATCATTAAGCCTGGAGCCCCAGTGCAGGACAGGAGGCGGGGCTCAATCTCACAATCCTGAGATCATGACCTGAGCCAAAATTAAGAGTCTGTCACTTAACTGACTGAGCCACCCAGGCGCCGCAAGGAAAAAAAAAGAATTTAAAAGACGGAAATTACTTTGCTAAAAGTATATTAATTACAAGGGAAAAAAATAGGAGGATGAAAGATGAGAAATTTAAAAGCAACAAGAAAGTTTTTTTTTTTTTCAAAATTTTATGACCATTTTTATTTTCAGATGAGGTTAGGTAACCACGAGGCAAAATTAAAAGAAATGTAAATTAGCATATTTGTTTGGGTTTGAGGTCTCATTTGTTAACACAAACACTTTAACTTAAAAGAACTTCTGGCCAACCAAATGTGAATTTTCAATACTACTCCTATTTATAAAAGAGGAAGGAAAAAAAAAAATGAATGAACCCAGTGAAAGCCATTCTTCCTAAACAGACTGCTGATTGGCGTACAGATGGTAAGAACCTTCTGCTCTTACTGAAGCTTGCAGAACAACACTGGAGATCTTGCCTCGTTTAGAACTGCTAGCCAAGTGAAATATGATTACCTCCATATGATTTGTGTCAACTCCAGTTAGTAAAGGTATAAGTAATCATTGCTTTAGTTAGAGGACTTTCTACTTGTACTTTTGAAGCTATGTCAGCAGTTTGCATTTAAATCAATTGCATTTTATTCATAGTCACAGGCAGATTGAAAGACAAAATTACCTGAAAATGTACGTTCGCAGTGAATGTCTATAGAATTAAGCTTTTTGAAAGGGAAGAGGGCACTCTTTCATATGTGTTTAAATATGTTTTGGCAGACTGCCTGACATTTAGTTTGGATTATAATAAACTATTATTACTACTACCTGTATGTTATAATTTCTAGTTATAGTTTCTCAGAAGCGACTAGTAAAATTAGTTTAGGCTGTCTGTTAAGGACAGTGAGGAAATTTCTTTTTATTTCTTATGGAAGGAACAAGACCAACTTAATATCTCCCAGTAGTACCTCCTATAGAGAAGCTCAATAAGTATTTGGCATCTTATTTTATAAAATTTTAATATGACATACTAGAGACAGAAATTAAAAGTAAAAACAAGCCAGAGGAGCACAGAGTGATTTAAAGGATCTGAGCCTTGAGGACAATCAACCACCATAAGAAGTAACTATGAAACAGGCCTGTCCTTAATTTTTTTTTTTTTTAAAGATTTCCCTTATTTATTTGAGAGAGAGAGAGAGAGAGAGAGAGAGCAATAGAGCACGAATGGGTGGGGGAGGAGAAGAGCGGGAGGGAGAGGGAATGGGAAAAATTATCACAAGCAGACTCCTAGCGGAGCACGGAGCCCAACACAGGGCTCCATCTCGTGACTGTGAGATCAGGACCCTGAGATCACCACCTGAGCTAAAACCAAGAGCTGGTTTCACTCAACCAACGCAGCCACCCAGGGGCCCAGGCCATTCCTTAGTTTTCAAGGAACAAAGGAACACAACAATAAAAAAGACCATGAATTCATTCATAAGTCTGCACTTCCAAGTTTACTAACACTGACTAAACTGTGATCTGTTTGGGAAAAACGTATTGTGTTGGAACTGTGGCACTACTGGGTCCACCCAATTAATTCCAATATGAAAATGCTCAATGTTGCTTTCTTCATAAAGAAAGAGTAGTCAGTGTTTTAGAGAAGAGGATAATAGGATAGTGGAAGAAGAGTATGGTATAGGTACTGTCTGGAGAAATGTATAATTATTTTTCATTCACTTTTTTTTCCAAAGGGGGGAAGAAAAATCAGGTATTAACCCTCTAGACAGCACCCTAATGAATGTATGGTGCCATAGGATAATAATGATACCTAACCATCTGGTGATTGGCGTGGAGTTCACAGTTAACCCCAGGCTGATGGCAGTGGAGATTGTGGGGACCGGCAGTACGGTGGAGTGGGCCAGAATTTGGTGTAGTCCAGGCAACCAGATAATTTCTATCTGCATGGATTGGGCAAATTATTCTCACTAGTAAACTGAGTATAGTGTCTCTGTCTTCTTCATAGGGTTGTTGCGAGGATTCCATGAGGCTATGCATGTAAACCTGAGCAGAGGGCTGGGTACAGAATAAGCCTTCAGTGAACATAGCTAATAGGATCTTTTAAGAAAATGACTTAACCTGAAATAAATGGGTCTTCCCTCACTTTCTTCTGGTCTAATTTAATGCCATTCTTCTGATGATTTTTCTGGCCTCCCTACCCTCCTCACCCCCAGGTTATGTGCTTAAACTGACTCAGTCACCACCAGTCACAGCTTTTATCAGACTTATATCATCTTTGTTTATTCAACTCTCTGTCTCTCTGTCTAATTTGCTTTGCCCCAGAGACCTTGAGCTCCCTTTGAAGGGGATGTCCGTGATTCTCCATGAATCTGGATTCTCCATGAATCCCTAGTACCTAACAGAGAGCAGTATACTTACTGTAAGACTGTAATATGTGTTTGTTGAATGAATAATTTGACACTGAAATCTTGTTAACATATTGGGTTAAGAAAATTTGTGGCTAGTGTATTTAAAATTCATAATTTTATGAAGTTGAAAATAACCTCCCAAGATCCATGAAATTAAACGTAATTCTTGGAGAGAGCTTATTGAAAAGAATGAGGTGTTCTTAAAAAAAAAAAAAAGAAGAAGAATGAGGTGTTCTTTCGGGGTAGAGAAAAGGGTAGGTTTTTTTCCTTTGATTTCATTTTGTTGGGCTGAGTGGAAGAGTATCAACCACGTCTGAGTCTGTGCATTTCCCAGGCATACACAAGTTTCTAGTGGTTGTTTGAACAGCAGTGTCTTTGCCGTGAATGCAATAGCCTTGTGTTCTACAGTCGAGGACTTGGAAGGGACTTCAGCGGTTATCACATCCCAGGTTCCACCTCGAAGAGGAGGAAACCGAGGCCAACAAAATACAGTACTTCTTTACTGGTAGGGCTGGGCCGAGATATCAGGTCCGCTGACTTCCAGACCGTGTCGGAAGGGTCACTAGTTCTTTTAAAAATAATCACTGCTACTTTAATAGCATCAGCACCTGTTGTTTTAGCTTCCGCAAGGGAGAAGCTATTAATTTCTCCTTCATCAAAGCCGCGTTTCGGGTCTGTCTGAACCTTGTTTTCTTCCTCACTGCAGCTGTCTGCACCCGTAAGGCCAAATGTTGAACGGAGGCACCTTTCTGCTTAAACCCAGTAAACCGCCACGGCCAAATATGGAAAGAGAAAATTCGACACAGATCATCTAGACAGTGGCCAAATTTATAATGTTTTTCCTGAAGTCTCTCTGTTCCACCTGGCGGAAGCCCGGACACAGCCCACCAGACGCAGGCCCAGGCGTGCGAACCCTTCCACAAGCATTCACGTTTGTGGTCTGTGACCAGCCGTGGCCAGGGCACGAGCTGGTGGAAGCTGAGAGAGACAGTTAATCTGAGTGGCAATTTCACCGGCTGTAAAACGGGAAGGAATTATAATCCTTCCTTGGGGAAGTTTTGACAATCAAATCGAACGCCGAGGATCTCCTATAAGCCAGCTTAGTTTGCTTTTATAACCATGATCGCCGTTCTTGCGTTAGGAAGGCCCAGATCGTCTGAGTTCTGTTTTCTCCCGCGCCCATGCCAGCCGGCGGCCCGCGGCCCCACGGGCGTCGGAAGGTGAAGGGCTCCGGGCGTCTCCGGGCGTCCCTGGGAGGAGGGAAGCGCGCACAGCGCGCATGCGCGTCCCGGGAGCCGCCGGCCCCTAATAAGAGTGCCGCGCGGCGCCACGGCGAGCCCAGTCGGAGCTGGCTCGGTGCCGGGCGCCGGGACTGTTCGCGCTCGGCTTCCTCCGCAGTCCCGAGGACTGAAACTTCCGTGGGAGGCTCCCATCGGTGCCCTCCTCCCGAGGGAAGCGGCGGCCAAGGAGAGAGGGAGAGCCGGTCGGACGCTGCCCGGCGCCCGTGGGAGCGAGCTGCAGCCGGAGAGGCAGAGTAGGGAAGCCGGGGGCGAGCCGCCCGCCTGGACCCGCGCCCAGCAGCAGCCGCGGCCGCCGCCGGCCAGCCAGGCTCCCCGGACGGCGGCGGGGGCGCGCCGGACCGTCGCTCGCGTCCCGGACGGCGGCGTGCGTTGGGAGGATTGGCCGTCAGCCCCGCGCAGGGCAGCGCTGCCCGGGCGGCGCGGCCGGAGCCATGCGGACCGAGTTCCGAGCTGGGGAGGCTGAGCACGGCCGGCCGCTGTACTTGCTGCCGGGAGTCCTGAGCTCGCTGCCCGCCTTCTCGGCCCCTTCTCGCCGCCCGAAAGGGGAATAAAGGAGGGGAGACTCTCCCGACTCGTGCGCGGGACGCCGAGGCTTAAAGTCCGCGGCAGCGACCTGGCTTCAGGTCGGCTACGGGAGTGAGCGTCCCCTCGGGGATGCGCGGGGAGGATCCCGTCGCGGCTGAAGCCTCCGGGGGCTGCGGGACGGCAGCTCCGCGGCCCCTCTGACTGCGCCCAGAGAGTTCTATCAGCGAGTGCCCGCTCTCCAGACAGCCCCACGAGGGACCGGGCCGCCCGGCCGAGGGAGGGATGGCTTAGGACCCCTGCCCCGGCAGCCCGGCGTCGTCAGCTCCTGGACGTCGCGGCAGAGGGCGGCTTGCAGAGCGCCGCAGAAGGGACCCTCGGGCGTCCAAGTCCCGGCTTCCGCACCCCTGGGAGCCGGGTGGCCGGGACCGCGACTTCCCGGAGACCTCTCTGCGCCCCCTGGAGCCGCGCCGCCCGCGCCCAGGGTGGTGCCATGTGGGGCGGACGCCGCTCGCCCGCCGCCTCCCCTCCGAACGCCGCTTCGCTCCTACAGCTGCTGCTGGCCGCGCTGCTGGCGGCGGGGGCGCGGGCCAGCGGCGAGTACTGCCACGGCTGGCTGGACGCGCAGGGCGTCTGGCGCATCGGCTTCCAGTGCCCCGAGCGCTTCGACGGCGGCGACGCCACCATCTGCTGCGGCAGCTGCGCGTTGCGCTACTGCTGCTCCAGCGCCGAGGCGCGCCTGGACCAGGGCGGCTGCGACAACGACCGCCAGCAGGGCGCCGGCGAGCCCGGCCGGGCGGACAAAGACGGCCCAGACGGCTCGGCAGGTAGGGCAGGCGGGTCCGGGCGCGAGACGGGAGGAAGGTTAGCTTTGCTGGGGCGTGACGGGAAAGGAATTAGGAGCACGGGAATTTCGGAAAAGGTCTTGGACCAGGAGGTGGTGTCTGCATCCTGGCCCAGCTGTTAACTCGTGCGAAGTGGAGCACCATTTCACGCCCCGAGCCTCAGTTTCCCCATCTGTCACCTGAAGAGTGGGTTGGCTTGGATTTTATGAAGAAAACCACATACGTAAGGCAGTGTGGGGTGCAGACAGCGCCGCGTTCCTCTTGGCCAGGGACCTTTGTTTCTCCTCCCACACCTCCTGTCTCTGCGGGTCTAACTTGTAATAAGGGCGAATGTCTTGATGGTACCCCGGAAAGCCGTGAGGGCGCGACCCCAGCCAGAGGGTGTTCTGGGGGGCGCTTCCATCCATAAAGGCTCCCCAGAAGGCAGGCACCTCCTCAGGGCCTTCCTGTGGGTAATGCATTTTGCCAAACCTCAGGCATTCTCATCCTCTGAACACTGGGCTGCAAGCCTCTCCGGTTTCTGGACAGTTCTCCTGATCACGCCAGACTTAGTAGGTGTGACATTAGAGCCGTGTTCCAAGCTTGCTCTTTGCGGCTTTGATTTTTTAAAATTATATATTTTTTCAAGTTGCCAAAGCCAGAGCTGGAAACATAAACAAATCCAGGAACGAATTTGATAGGTTCCACTTCCTCCATTCTTCAGAAACCTCACAGATGGCCTCCCTTGAGGGTCTATCCCAATATGTGGATGGGAGGGAGGATTTAGCACCTGGCTAAATGGCAAACAGGTCACGGAATGGACGTCTCCTCCTTCTGCAGCTGGTTATGTGAAGGAGAGGATTTTTACCAGCACCCTAAGCCAGGGTTTAAGCTACCTGAGCTTTGGCACTGAGTTTCCAGAACTGTCTCCGGGGCCTGATAAGCTGCAATTCTCTTCAGTGCTGTTACCTTTGCAGGCTGGCATTTGATGGGCAAGCTACTCCTACTGTTCCGCTGCCTTGAATCTGAAGAATGGAGAACTGAGGGTAATAATTCCAGAAAAGCTGCTGTCTTCATCCTCCAGCTCATGGTTGCAGGGGTATACGGTGGTTGACGAGAGTCTTGAGAAATGAGCCAAAGACAGAACCCTACCTTGATGTATCTAAGTTGGTCTCATTAGTGGTCTCTCAATAGTTGGGTTGATTTTGGACAAATCAGGAGATGGCCGACTTCTCGTGAGTCTGTGTGTTGTGTGTGGGTGCCTTCTTCACTCTACTTTGAAACCTTTTTTTCCTAAAAATTCTGTTCCTCTCACTTCTCCAGTCAAGAAGGACCACATGCCTAATCAGCCAGTGAAGAGAATTTATGGGAGTGCAGAAGGTCATTAACCCTCCCAATTAAAAATCCTGGAAGAACAGTTCTTTCTCCCCAAAACTCATTCTGTGGACTTACCCTGCTTCCAGCTAATTTAGTTTCTGCTATAATGTTTGGAGTGTTCTTTCTTTTTCTTTTTCTTTTTTTTTTTTAACCTTTATTTATTTACATCCTAATAACCTATTTAGGGCTGGTATCTTAATTTCGAGAATGAAATATTTATCACCTGCACCCACTGCTCCAGTGCATTATTACTAGCCTGTGATTAGAACAGTCCCATCATCTGAAGACCCACTAGGCTCTGTGGGCTCTGGAGCAAGTGTTCCCATCTGCGAAAGGGGTATCACATAAATACAGTATTTCTTCTTCAACACTGAAGGTTTAGGAAATCTTCAGATGTCAGCCTTTGATGAAATGCCTTATAAAGTATGTCTTACTTCACAAGGCATGATCTTCCAGGTCTCCATGTGGCACTGTATTCTAGAAACTGCCGTCGGGAGTATCAGAGCTGTGGAAAGGAGCGTAATTAGGCCGCTGCTCTAGCAGACAGACCAAGGGTTTTTCACGAATTTGACCCCAGAGGTGCAGGAGAACTGGGCTTTTTCCCCAAGTGCCACCCTGTATCACTGCGCTGGCCCTGGGCTTGGCCAGAACTGGGGAGCCCTAGTTCCCGTCCTTCTGTATTTTCCAATCAAACAGTCAAGGCAATGGGCAGGAGCATATCAAAGAACTGGTTCTTGGTGACACAGGGTGGAAGTCCACAGAAGTGGCTCTGAATCATTCTGCAGCCTCCTCTCTCCCCATTCTCTGTCCCCATCAGCCAGTGTGTCTAGTTTCCAAAAGCCCTAGTGTGCCAGCCGCATGGCTTCCAGAAGCTTGTTTTCAGTAATGTGTAAAAATGGAACTCACTATCAACTAGAGGAAAGTTATTTTCATGTTATTTCATGTTGTAACTTTCATGTTATTTTTCAGAATACACCTCGCTTGTTAAAGATGATGCTCTACTGCTTTCTGGTCTGCAGGCTTTCTAGGTCTGCCCACAGAGCCCAGTGTTAAGTTCAGGTGTAGCTGCTGCACCCCAGCCACCCTGGGTCTGCCTGGGGCCTTCTTGAGCACAGCTCTTCTTCCTGGGTCTGGTCGCAACCAACATTTGTTCTTCTTGGTACCTTGCTTCATGCTCACCTGCGGCCTGGAATAGCTTCTCTCTACATAAGTCACTTCACCTTTCCACCATCTGGCGCACACGGTGGGCCCAAGGTCCAGCGCTCAGCTAGGCAAGTGAGAGTAGAGGTGTTCTGGGGTTTTTGTTATTGTTTTGTTTTGGTTTTTACCCTTCTTTGACCTTTGTCGTGACAGATTTGAAAATGGTCATGGCTGGATTTAAATTTTTTGCTTATTTATTTTTAAAGATTTTAGCTACTTGAGAGTGAGAAAAAGAGCACAAGCGGGGGGCAGGAAGGGCAGAGGGAGAAGCAGACTCTCTGCAGAGTAGGGAGCCCCACCTAGGGCTCAGTTCCAGGACCCTGAGATCATGACCTGAGCCAAAAGCAGATGCTTAATGGACTGAGCCACCCAGGTGCCCCTCAATTTTTTATTTATTTGCCTGTGGAAAAAGAAAAGAACAGCTCTGAAGTGGCAAAGGAGGTTTGCAAAGAATATCATTCTGGGTGGGGGGAGGTTCTTAAATAATATAATTCACTTCTATGCAGCCCCTACAACTATCTGTTAGGGCAGTTCAGGCGGTTGAGTTATAATAGGAACCTTAGAAGTCTCAAAACCTTACATTCGTATTTGTGCTAAATTGGACATTGTTCTCAGCCATGTGTTTCAGTTGGCAAGCCTAGCTGTGAATGTTAACCGTTTTGCTTTGGGGGCGTTGATCTGCCCTCCCTGTAGGGCCTTAGCTGCTTTCCAAAGTACCCGAAGAAGGACAGTGCGTGTGGTGGGCTGCTAATGAGGGCACAAACCTGCCCAGCAACGGGAGCGCCCGAAACCAGTTCCGTAGTTGTGGGTGTGGCCGCCGCTCATTTATGGATCCCCACTGGCAGATACCGATGTTCACTGCATTCTGAGAGTAAATCCTCACAATGTGTTTTTTTATCCTTTAGTCCCCATCTACGTGCCATTCCTCATCGTTGGGTCTGTTTTTGTCGCCTTCATCATCTTGGGGTCACTCGTGGCTGCTTGCTGCTGCAGATGTCTCCGGCCCAAGCAGGAGCCCCAGCAGAGCCGCGCCCCTGGAGGGAACCGCTTGATGGAGACCATCCCCATGATCCCCAGCGGCAGCACTTCGCGAGGGTCCTCCTCCCGCCAGTCCAGCACAGCGGCCAGCTCCAGCTCCAGCGCCAACTCAGGGGCCCGGGCGCCCCCAACAAGGTCCCAGACCAACTGTTGCTTGCCCGAGGGGACCATGAACAACGTGTATGTCAATATGCCCACAAATTTCTCTGTGCTGAACTGTCAGCAGGCCACCCAGATTGTGCCCCATCAAGGGCAGTACCTGCACCCCCCATATGTGGGGTACACGGTGCAGCATGACTCTGTGCCTATGACCCCCGTGCCCCCTTTCCTGGACAGCCTACAGACGGGCTACCGGCAGATCCAGGCCCCCTTCCCGCACACTAACAGTGAACAGAAGATGTACCCAGCTGTGACTGTGTAACTCAGGGTGCCGGCCGGGTCCCTTTACGAGACCGAGGAGCCCAGGGAAGCTGTGGACTTGGAAATGATTCTCTAAGAGGAAGTTCTCCCACCTTGCTGGTGCAGACAGCCCCGTTCTTTTGGATGACTTCATTTGGCCCCCAAGTGTATGAAAACACCTCTTCCCGAATTAGCCTTTCTGCGTACGTTTCATCCCAGTGCATGATCAATTTATGATGGAAAAAAGCATCACTTGGAGATGACTGTGTTGTTGCCCTTGGTTGTGTGACAGATCAAGGCCTTAAGTGCCCTGGAATTATGGCTGTCAGAGGAGTTTTGTAACTGGGTAGACTAAGGGGTTTTATTATATCCTTATTAGTGTTTCTTTTTTGTTTTTTGACAAAGGTCAAACACAGGTCAGAACACCTGTTCCCTCCCCTTGACCTGGGGAAGATTCTTATAAGCATCCAAGTTTCAGGGGAAGACCTAAAGAACAGAACTATGATGAAAGGACAGCCAGTTGGAACTCCCTGAGATTAGTCCTTGATCTCAGTGTTTCCCAGGCACATCTTAATTTCATTGTAAAAAGATATATATATTTTGTCTATTTTTGTGCTTTTTTGGGGGTCTATTTTGTGCTTTTTTACCTTGTGTAGAGATCTTATTACAAAGTGATTTTCTACATTAAAAAGAGACCGAAAGAAATTGTATAGTTACTTAACTAATGGCATTACAGAACTCTGGGATTATTTTAAGCTTGGAAGGAGCGGCTGGTGTAGTAATACAACCGTTCATCTCACTCTCGATAGTACCCTCTAATTTGCTGACTTCACAGTGACATCTGAGAAGAAGCAATTAGATGTTTTTATATTGAAATCATAAACTCTCACCTGCTGCTGCTCCGGGTTACTTTGAATTTTACCGTGGTATGGCTTGGCATTCATTCTGTTCGGCTTTTGAATCTCCGTGTCTCCGTAGTACCGTGCACAGGTAATTACTGTTATAAATGAAGATCAGGATTTCTGCCTAGATCTGATAAAACATTTTCTTGTTTCCCTATAAAAATTCAAAGAAATGCTTTACAAAGATGCTTCATCTGGCTTCTCAGCCATAACCTGAGACTTGGGATGAAATTTAAACCACGAATAGAATTTACTTTGCAAATCATAAGGCTTTTTATACTCTTGTTATCAAAATGGCTTATTTTTCAGGCAGTGGGGACTGTTGAGTCAAGAGAAAAGCTTTTCAAAGAGATATTGCCTTTCTTCCCCCACAAAGTTAGTTTTTGTTTTCCTCTCTTAGTCCTCAGCAAGCACTGTATTCATTACTAATGATCTGAATTATGAAATTCAAGTGAGTCTGTGTATTGTTTACTTAAATAAGTCTAAGTATGTGCAAGCAAATTTCTAACTGCTGGCAAAACTGAAGTTTGCAATTAAAATATTGTAAAGTGTGGTCTTTCACACGTTTATACCTGCAGTTTATTTATCTATCCATCCATCCGTCCGTCCGTCCATCCATCCATCCTCTGTCTAGCCTATTCTCTCCCTATCTGTCCTTCCTCTCCCTCTCTCTCATGACTGAATGATGTGAAAGCATTGTTGGTAAGCACTATCAACAGAGATGTGCAGTCAAATCTTTTTAAATAACAAAGGCAGGGGACATCATTTTACTTATTAATAAATATTTTATGGTATGAATTCCAAGGGAGTTGGGTTTTTTCATTTTTTATTTTACTTGGTAACTTTGCCGATGGCTTGTTAAGACTGTTAGCATCATAAAATTGCAAAAAAAGGATAAATATTGTTCTCTAGAATGTAGAGCTTACCTTTAACAGTAATCAATACCTGGGAAGTTTATATGTATATTCTAGGCATGAGTATTATTTTATGTATTCCATGGGAAGTGTTGACAACACAAAAGAGACAGTCTTTTGGGATTATTATATTATGTGGCTAATGCATGTTCCATCCCTTCTCTTTGAGGGAGGATCCTCGGTTATCTAAAGAAGTAAAATTCCTAGAAATGTGGAGGTGAAAAGGACCTCAGAGATCACTCAGCGTAGAGATTGGCAAACTGCAACTACTCCCCACCCCTCCCACCCCACCCCCCCACCCCGCCCTGAAGGGGCTAGAGAGGAAATACTTGAGGTTTTGCAGGCCACATGGTCTCCACCAACCATGCAACTCTACCAGTCACACAAAAGCTGCCATAGGGGACACATAAAAAATGAGTATTGCCATGTTCCAGTGACACCTTGCTGACGGACACCGATGTTTGAATTTCATAAAATTTTTACGTGTCACAAAATACTTGGCTTTTTTCCCCGCCCCTCAACAATTTCAAAATGTAAAAACCATTCTGAACTCTTGGGCCATGAAAACCAGGCAGTGGGCCAGATTTGGCTATTGGTCTTAGCTCAACCATCCCTGATCTAGCCCACCCTTACCTGATGCGGGAGTCCCTCTGTTACATATTCCACAGCCTTTTCTTAAACATGGAAGGACCAGGGAAAGTGCTTGCTTCTCTTTTCTGTATGCTATTAAATTCAATTAAAGCATAAGTACACTTTAATAAATGAGTTCTTCACTTAGTGAGTGCTACCTGGTCTTTCTAAAAGTATAAATAACATCACTGGAGGGACCCTCAGACCTTTGCAATTTTGGTAAAAACTCAAGTTTAGCTGTCAGTGTAAAAGGTCAGACAGCTGGTTTAAGGATACCTTCCTTACTATCATAAAATCAGAATCTGTAAGGTGTGGTTTGTGCCTGTAGGAATATTTTAAAGTCATCTGGGGGGAAAAAAAAAAAAAAAAAAAAAATTTAAAAGGAACAGTTACAGATTGGAAAATAATAGTTTGCTGCTGTACATTTTCTTCTGTATCTAAACTTTTGGTCCATGATGGTTCTGGGGATTTCTCTACCTCTCAGTGTGGGACAGAAATTCAGACCCTCTGATTGTAAGGAAGAAGAAATTAACCAGCTCTTTTCTGTCCATTTAAGGGCCCCAGGGAAACTAAGCATCTCCTATCATTCCTGCTGCGGCTAGAAAAGGTACAATTTCACAATAATACCAACATCCAAAGTGGCAAGAAGACCCTTAAGACAAATGCACGTGGGTCTGACCTACCTACTCTGCAGTCTTCCCAGTTTCAGGCTAGCGCTCCACTTCTATGTTCCTAGATGTTTGGCTTATATTTCCTATATTAAACTTACCTTGAGCTCGTTTTTCTCCAGACTGCACAGTTTCACGAATTCCATGGCTGATCCTTTCTCCTTGTTTGGGTACATATTCAGGTTTCAGTTACCTTCAGAAGTATCAACTGAAGAAACCATGACCTTTGGAACTAAGCTAGCGAGGAAAGGTAGCGTGGACGTCCGCAAATGGACACAGTGGAGAAAAGTTTCAGTGGTGCTCACATTTGGAGCAGGGAAGGGTTTGGCCCCCTCCCGGTAACAGCACTCACAGGACTCCCTGTCTGCGTCAGAGGCTCTGTTTCCTGCAAATTCACATTTGTCTGCTACCATGCGGACCCAGACCCGCAGTGATTCATTTAAAAGCTATTTAAATGAATGAGCAGCATGCTGGCTTTCCATTGCTTCAGCTTTTCAAATGCTTAAAAGGAATGTTTGTTTCTGTTTAAGGGACCTGAGCATCCAGGCTTCTCACTAACTCAGCCTGGGCTCCCCCGGTCAGAGCTGCCCCATTAAAATGTGTAATGTGTATTTTCCTACACTGTCCACGGCAGACTTCTGCTCCAGCTATGTGCTTGGAGAAGGTTGTCGGAATTTGGGGAGAGGGATTATTATGACAGGCAGACAGAGACATCCGACTAACTCTGTCAGTCATTAGGATGGACAAGGAGTGGCCCAGGAACCTGCCCGCTCTCCTGGACTGCTAAGTAAATAATGGATCAGTGGTAATGGCTAAAGGAACTTTCTAGGATTTTAAAACCTATGATCCCTTCCCCATTTCGTCTTCTTTCCCTTGCCTCTTGAGCAGGAGACAAATCAAAGCATCTGAAAAAGCTGTATAATCTTGAGTGGAGGAAGCTCAAGGCAGGGAGGAGGACAGTGGCTTTAACAACCGGGTAGGAGGGGCGGTGGGGGGGGGTGCGGGCTCCCAGAGGCCTGCCCAGTTGCGTTCAACTTTTAGAGCCCCTTTCATTTTTAAAAGGAGCAGCCTAAATATTGCAAGGAGGAATAAATCATGCATACAAATGAGAACACCATTCCTCACCACTCAACCTTAATCCTTCTTTTCTTTTCCTTCTCAGATGCTAGAGCCTTGAGGACATTTCCACCCTGCTACCCCTAGCCCTTTCTCTCTGTGTTTTTTTTTTTTTTTTTTTTTTTAAGAGCCGGAGATCAGCTATTTTCATTCAGCCTATTCATTCCAAAAAACTTATATAGAAAATTTCTTTGCCTTCTGAAATTTTTCTCTTAATTGAAAACATGAATGCCACTGGACTTCAAGTGCTTTGAAGGGGTTGTTGGGGAGAGATGACAAAGAGTTAGAAATTATTAACTCTTTTCGTGAAAATTAAGGATACGCTAGGTAAACATTTTTTAGTGCATGATTTGCATTTGCTTTTCTTTGCCCTCTGTTTTTCCAGAGAGAATCCTTTATCGGCGAGAAATGGGAGAATAAAACCCTAGAGAAACAGTGACTCCTATCCAAGAAGTTCAGTATTTTTGACTGTTAGAACCCCAGCGCTCCATGACAACAGGACTTTGAGATAACTTTACAGTTTTAAGGAGGGAGTTGGCAGTGAGGGTCACTGTGTTTTTCACAGTTACATCTTCAGAATGCCTTCCACATTTATGCCCCAAACTGAAGGAACTAGACTCCAATCAAGAACAAGAAATTTAAAATTAATGTTTTCAAGAAAGCACTCTTAAATGAGGGATGATAAAACGGGGGGAAAGTGCATGGTGGCAGCCTTAAGATGGATTTTAAACAGAAATGTTGCAACTCAGTTTCAACCATCCTGAAGCGTAGGTCGTTTTATGTAGGAAAAATCATAGGCTACACAAGACATTATTTACTCAGTAGACATAATAGCTGTAGAAGACTGATTGCCATCTGTAACATGTATATAAATTACCACATGTGTGTGTATACATATGTGTGCAGAATGATCACAGGAACATTTGAAACAGCAATAACTTATTACATGAGGCTATCTCATCCAAGACTCTGTTCTCAACTCTTGACTGATTTTTTAAAACTGGGGCCGGTTTGCAGCCGTCAGCTCTCCTCACTTCAGCTGTAACTGGTTCTAGAGAACTTCCTCTGGAGTTGGATGGGCCCAAGTTAGAACCCATTTCTACCACTGATGGTGTGGCCTTCAACGTGAACTTTCCTGTCTGAAAGTCAGCATGCCCTCTGGGAAAGGGCATCAGCAACACTTACCCTCTCCAGTTGGTGTGGAGATAAAGGACATATACCATAGCGCTAGCAGCATCTGATCGGTATTTATAATATACGTATAATTAAATTTCTTTTCAGATACTTTTAACCTGCCCGTTACAAAGAAATACATAATTTGTATTGACAAAGTATGCCAAATACAGACAGATAGATCCTTAGAACTACATTAGGAGGTTTTCCTTATTTTTGTTTCAATAACCGATTTCATCTGGGTTAGTCTGTATTTTTAGTGTTTTTAGTTTCCGTAAGACACCTGCACAGGATTGGCTTTCTCTGACCCTCAAATCAGTACCACTCTTTGTGACGCCCTACGGGGCCTGTCTGATTTCTCTGCACTGTTACTTTGAAAAGTCACAGGATTTCTCTCCTCCTTCTATTGCCACTAGGTTTGGGTGTACCTACGGAGCCTTTCTAGTCGGCTAGTTGGCCTCTCTCTGAACCAACTGGGGTTCAGTCAGGAACACACACTGAATCACTTTCCACACACAGGAAGCACACAAATCTTAAATGTAGAGCTCAATAAACCATCATCAAGGTCAAGAGACGGAAAGAATCCTGTTGATAGCTCTCATTAAAGAGAAGCTCTCAGGTGATCTCTCTCACCATAGATTAGCTTTGCCTGGTTTTGAACTTCATACAAATGGGATTACACAATATGTGCTCTTTTGTGTCCGGCTTCTCTCACTCTGTGCTGTGACTGCTGTTGAAGGGAGCTGCCGCTCCTTTTCAGTGCAGAGCTAGTGATGACCTGAGGCAGTTACTACCCCCTAAGGCCAAAGGAACAAAGGGAAAAAGTTGGGGGTGTTGGAATCCAGATGCTTGAAGGAAAGGCCCTGTCAGGCTCAGAGAGGAGCACCTGCTGTCCGGGACCCCACGGGGGGGACACAATATGGTTGGCTCTGGGAATGCCAATTGTTTTTTTTTTCGAAGCTGGAAACTGGTGCCAGCTGCCGCCAGGTTGAAGGCTGTGTCCGTGGACGCGGACAGGTCTGGGGACAAACAAGACCTTGCCCTTCTACTGTCCCGGCCTCTCAGGCGCCCTCTAACGCCCCCTGTTGGCAGAGCCTAGC